GGGGCGGGGGGCGCGGGGCGTGAGGGGCGAAGGCCGCGCCCGTTGGCCAGGCCGGGCTGGAGACATGAGTGTGAGGGCGGCGTGAGTGCGCGTGTGTGCCGGCCCGGAGGGTGGGTGGGCGTGAGTGTGCCCAGTCGGAAGGTGGGCGTGAGGGTGCCCGGCCGCAGGGTGGGTGGGCGGGAATGCCGGCTGCAGCGCCGAGGCGCCCGTGCCTTTTTCGGGGCAGGCGGGCTGCGGTGGGGGCCTGGCCGCGGAAGGACCTTGCTGCTTGGGGTCGAGGTGGGCGCCAGGCGGGCCGGGGCTCGTCGGCGTCCTGAAGGGGGGCCGTCGGCGCGGAGCGGACCGTGTGCGGCCGCCCACTGCCCGCCAGGTCCGGCTTTGTGCCAGGACACGGGGGCGCAGGGAGTCGGAATGGGCGGCTCCGGCTCAGGGTCACGGCTGCCTGTGGGCTCTGCCCCGGCAGGTGCACGGCTGTGCGGCGCCTCGTGGGCTCCCCGGACTCGCCTCTGCAGCAAGGAGGGGGCTGGGGCGTTTCGGGGCACAGCCCCTCGGCGGGGGGCACCGTCTCGGCACCGCGTCCCGGCCTCTCTCCCTGAGTTTCTTTTTGCGATTGCAGGTGGTGTGTGGGTGGAGGCAGTGTTCTGTGCTGAGGGCCAGGAGCCGTGCCGGCTGTGTGGCTCCTGGGGCTCAGGTCTTTAGAGCGTGCAACCTGCTCCGAGGCCGCGGCCGCTGTGGGTGTGTTCCATGCTGCTTCCCACCAGCGGCGGCTGTGGGCGCTGTGCAGCCTTCGGCAGCAAAAATGCGGCTGGGGGTTTTCTCCCTCCCCTTTTTTGCGGTCTACCCAAGTCTCCCGTGTCTCCCGTGACCTCCGCAGATAAACTTAGGGTTGCAGAGCTAGAGGTTCCTCGCCTGGTGATTTGTCTTTTGAAACCTTTGAGGGAAATTTAACTCTCTGCATCCTGGGTGCCGCCCATAAACAGCAGGTGGTTCCCAGGAGCTCTCCCCCGTAACAGGAAGCAAGGTGTGTGCTTGGAGCTGGGGGAGGGGAGGGAGATTTGATAGCAGGTGTGACTGTGAAGCATGGGTACCGTTCCATAAACCGTCCTGGGCACAGCCAAGCAACCATTAAGTGCTTGCTTAGGGAACAGAAGCCAGCGGGCTCCAGGGGTCTTAGAGGCCAGGAGTGGAGTGGGCAAGGTTCTGGAGCCTCATGCCTGTGTGTACTGGCTTTGCAGCTGTGACAGACAAGGTGTTCTGCCTTTAGTTCCTCATCTGCAAAACGGGGACAGCAGGAAGACTGGCCCCCAGAGTGATTGCATGGAGACTTGTCAGACCTCTGTGCCTGGCACTTTGCGAGTGTTCAAAATAGGAATTGTCATTACTACTGAGAGTTGGTGCTGCCAGGGCTAGAGTTATATTGGGGCGTTCAGTGCAGTTATTGCAGATGGAAACGCTATTTAAAGCAGGATCTGGGTTCTCTCCCTTTGAAATAGACAACCAGTGTTCTGGTTGGTAAACTTCACTTTACAGTGTTGTCCTTTTAATGTTGTTGTTAGGTGCCATCCAGTCGGCTCTGACTCATAGCGACCCTATGTACAACAGAACGAAACAGTGCCCAGTCCTGCACCAGCCTTTTAATAGAGAAGATAATTTGTTAAAATAAGTATTAAATGTCAGTGAGGGGGAGGTGACCAGCAGAGGCGGGGACTCGGAATCACCAGTGTGCTCACAGTTTGCCGTGGGTGCTGCTGGGAGAAATAAGACTTCTTCAGAAATAAGTGGCCAAATCTCCCCCGTTTCCCATGAAGCTTATTCTTCCCTCGTAGAGTGGCCATTTCTGCTTTCTATATCTTTGGCATACCCTAGACAGCCGGACTACTGTATACTGCGTGAGCTGAGATCAAGGGGGCAACTTTCACCTTGTCTTTTGATGTCTGTGGGGTTTAGTTTATGGTGAGATAGCCTAATGTTTTGAAAAATCTAGTAAGGAGAATGGCTTCTGTGAGTGTATTTGGAAGTCTCTCAAGAGATTTAAAGTGTCCACACCAGCCTTCTCCTCATGTGCTGACACCCATGGGCACTCCGCATGTCCTGTTTAATGACAGCCGTCTATGGATAGTCTCTTGTTAGATTTGTTTGGTTCTTTGGTTCTATTGTAAAAACAGTCCATGTGATACTTTCTCGTGCTGAGGCCTCTAGTCTTACCAATACTACGCCGTTGCTGTGCCAGTCCATTGACTGATGGTTATTTGTTGTGGGTTTTATACATTCCTTCTCAGCAGCAGCTTTGCCGGGTGCCTTGTAAGGACTCCATGAGGCGTCACTCCAAAGAGTGACGTGGGGTGCAGCCTGCTTGGTGCAGTCCCAGGCCTGGGAGACGGCTGGACGAGCTGAGCTTAGCTGGGTTGCCTCTTGTGCCTCCACGCTGCTCTTGTTGCCACGCCTGCTTTACTGGATGCTCCTTCCTGGCAAACGCTGGTCATATCTGTGCTTTCTGTGCCTGCCTGGCATTGTCTTTTCCTGGACTCTTAGCATCTGCCCCTGACTTTACAAGCACGTCTTCCCTGCTTCCCTAGACCAAGTCTGACCCTTGATTTCCTTCTGGACACACCCTATTTCTGCCCCTGGGTCTATGTCCCTGCTCCCATCCACTCTCTTGGCTTTCTGTGGGACCTTGACTCTCCCTAAAACAGGAGCTGCCCAATACTCCCTGTCCTTCTGTTCAACCTCCTGAAATGTGATAGTGACATAAAGTTTGTTTTGTTACCACATTTCTGTTGTTCCAATGACATAGGACCCTCCCCCACTCTCTTTGTAACTTGTTAATTAGCTCACACTCTGTTATTTTATTGTGATGTGGGTATAAATTGACAAAGCAGATTATGATCCCCAACCATAAAAAGATCTCCTCCCATCTTCTCCCTGTGGCTGTCCTTTCCCTGTGCCCTTCTTACCTGTGCATTCCTGTGTGTCCAGCTTCTGCTCTATGCAAATGCTGCCCTTCTGATGTCTCGTGGTTGATTGACCTATGGGATGCTTCTACCCAGGGTAGGTGGGTGCATCTCCCTGGGGTAGCTGTTCTGCCTGTAGGTCTTTCTGCTGTTTGGCTGAGAGCTAATCCATGGAAGTGAGTCCACTTCTAGACCTGAAGGATTACCCCGGGCCATAATCTCAGGGTTCCCATCAGGCTCTGTCTGACCAGTAATTCTCATCACTTTGTGCTTTTGAATTTTGTTCCACTTTTCTCCCACTCTATCCAGGCTCTCTAATTTTGATTCCTTTCTGAACAGTTGGCTTTGGTAGCCGGCCTCCATCTAGTTCTTCTGGTCTCAGGGTCGTAAAGGCTGAGGTCCCTGTGGCCCTCCATATCCTTGGGCTAATTGTTTCCAAATGGCTTTGATTTTCTTTACTCTTCTTTGCTCCAGATGAGGGGAGACCAATAGTTGCATCCTAGATGGCTGCTCGATAGCGTTTAAGATTCCAGTTGCTACTCACCAAAGTAGGATGTAGGACAAGATTTTTATGTGCTGTGTTGTGCCAGTTGAGCATGGTGTCCCCCGAGACTATGGTCACAAGTGCACAGGCCCAGTGACTCTCTCCCTCAAGGTGTTTGGTTGTCTCTGAGTATCTTTTCCAACCTTGTTCCCTATTACTTGTGTGTTGTATATGGATACTTTTGTAGCACAAGTCCATATATAAGATGTCTTTAGCCAAATCTGTCCTTGGTCTTGGTCTTCCTGTTTGCCTCCCCACACCTGATCTTCTCACCTGTGTGTGTTTTCACCCACAGCCTGGTGTTTGCTGACACTGGTCATGCAGTATTGTACTATAATCATATTTGCCTCTGTTGGCTGTATCTTTTTGTATGTTTCTCGGTCCTCCTTTTCCTTCTTGTCATTTTGTTGGTCACACACTTTTGTTATGTCACCTTCCTTTTCACACAAAACATGTGCCTCTTAACTAGTTAGAAATTTTCCCTCCACTTCCCTCCCATTCCTAGTAACCAAGAAAGTAAATTTCCTTCACTGTGTAAACCTTTCCTTGACTTTTTACGGTAATGGATTCATCCAAATGTTTGCCCTTCTGTGATTGACTTATTTCACTTATCATGATGTCCTCCAATTCACCTACATTATGAGGTGATTCTTCATTATTCTTTAGTGTTGCATAGTATTCCATTGTGTCAATGTACCATTGTTTGTTTATCCATTCTTATGTTGATGGGCACTTAGGTTGTTTCCATCTCTTTGCTACAGTGAATTGTGCTGTGATGAATATGGGTGTGCATATGTCTATTCGTGTCTTGGATCTCATGTCTTTAGGGTATATTCCTAGTAATGGAATTACTGGATCAAATGGTATTTCTGTTTTCAGGTTTTTAAGGAAATGTCTTACTGTTTTCCAGTAGCTCACATAGCTTTGACATAGTTTGCATGCTGTGAAGACTGGTGGCCACTGTTACTGTCCATTTAGTGGATTTTTTCTTGGTTAAACATTTGATAGGACTTTTTCATTTCTTTTGAGTCTTTGGGATTCTGTGGGAAACCCATAATATCCAGCATTGTTATGTGCCCTGTAGTCAGACCTGATTCATACCGACCCATCCTTGGGTTTCCGAGGCAGTATCACCATGGAAGTAGATTGCCCAACCTTCCTTCCAAGGAGTGGCTGGTGGGTTTGAACCTCCGGCCTTCTAGGTAGCAGTCAAGTGCCTTAGGCACTATGCTACTAGAGCTCCTAATATCCAGCATTAGGAATGTGTTTTTCCAACATTGTGTAAAATTTTTCCTGAGTGGTGTTTATTCAGTACTTGTGTTTATTGAACATCTAATCTGTGCTCCATTGACAGTGTCTATGTTGTTTCTTCAAGGAATGTGAGAAGACAAAGAAAAAGCCTCCTACAAATAAGGGAGAAATTGAAATAAGCCGTTGGTGCCGTTCAGGCAGCCCTGACCCTTGGTGCCCCCGCAGGGTTTTTGTTTTTAAATAATTTATTTACATTTGAAAATTGTGATTTGGGTGAAGGTTTACAGAGCAAAGTCATTTTCCATATAGCAGTTCATACACATTTTGTTTTGGGACATTGATTACAATCCCCAGAATGTTACAGCTTTCTTCCCACTTCCTCCCTCTGGCTGCCTTTTCCCTGTTCCTCCTTCCTGTGCATTCCTGCCCCCTGAGCTGTCTCCCTGTGCAAATGGTGCCCCTCTGATCGCCCGTGGCTGATCCTCCTAAAGAGTGGACCTGCCTGGTGTAAACGTTCACCTGGGAAAGCGCCTTTCTAGAACGTGCTGTTCTTGTGCAGAGAGTAATGGGAACCCGTGGTGGCTCTTACAGTTCTGGCCTGGGACTGGCCATGAAGGTCACAGTCCATGGCTAAAGTGGGCCATATGACTGAGGCCGTGGTGACGATGACACTCGCTCTTTCCTTGATTGCGGGCAGGTGTAAAGCCCTTGCAGGGAAGGAGGAGTGAGTGAACAGTCAGGAGCAGTGCAATAATCCTGG